TGACAACCAACTCGTCATCCACAAACGCGTCAAGCACGTTCTTCTCCATCACATTGTAGAAAGTCTTCTTCTTCAAGTGCTCGTGCGCTGCTTCCACAGATGGGTACTCGTTGACAATGAACTTACCGGCCTTGATCATACGCTTGAAGAACCACTCGTTCAAAGCCTGGGTGTACTGGATCACTGGCTCCACCAGAATAATCGAATCAAAGAGCTGTGGCTCAAGGTAACCCGCCCAGAGCACAGCAAAACCTCCTAAGGAGTGGCCCACGAGGATATTTCTAGTCCATCCGTCTGGAGTGAAATCGCCAGTTTCTCTGATTTCGTGCTTCACCACTTCAACCACGTCACGGCCGCCGTCACACCAGTCTGCCGTCCAGCCGATCTTCTCCCTGTTGAGTTCAGCAGAGTCTCCATGAGAGAAGAAGTCCACAGCGACGACATTGTTGATTTTCCACGACGTGTACTTTTCGCTGGCCTCGTAGAGCTTCTGGATATGGTAGTTCCACGTGCCCTTGTTCATTCCCGAGCCGTGGGCGAACACAAGGTTGATTTTGGTGGTTTCCTTGGGAATCGGCTGCTTTGGAGTGAACTTGTTGTAGACAAGCTTGATTTTGTCCGTAGGCAAGGTGGTGGATCCCGGAGCACGGGGAAACACGCCGTCTGCTACCTTCTTTTCGACCGTATACAATTCTGACATTTTTTATCGGTTTTGTGTGAATAAATAGTGAAGAAGAAAGGTGGTAGAGGATTGAAATTGTGGGGCTGATACCGCGGCTCAAGTACCCCAGTTTTTCCATCAAGTATCCGAGGCAATCTGGGTGCAACGGAGGGAGAGGCATTATGTCACTTTAATTGCAGCATTTTTGAAATAAGATTAGAAGAATTGCTAAAACGAGGATTTATGGCTATTGGGAAGGAGGATCGGATGCTGGGTGATCTGAAGATCTCGACATTACTCTAAATGAGTACTGAGAAGATGAGACAAATTACACAATATAGCTCACCAACGAAGAAGTGACCAGCGATATTCTGGTTTTCCGCTAACCTTGCCTTCATTGTTTCATAAAATGGAACCTTCGGGGTGTGGCGCCCACGTGAAAATGGTGAGCCTGAGTGATGGTTATGATTCTGGAGGAGATGCACAATCTGGGATTTAACGAATGAAATCCGGGTTTAGCTTGGAGGCAAGTGCCGGACCAGATGGGCCAGTTTCAGGTCAGTTTTGTGACAATGCAACGTCCAACGTCTTTGTTAGTACGCAGTATTTTGCAACCATTATGAGGAATTGGTTTCACCCTGCGACGTGGGCCTATGGCTGTGGAGGAGATGGGAAGGTGGTTTGTCGACATTTTGAAAAGTTATATCAATAACATAAGGGTGTTAAAATTTCAGATCCTTGTGGTCTATTTATGGGGGCTGATAGTATGGTGCAGTGATAGTCTAAAGGTACCTCTGAGATTGGCATGTAGCATCTTTGGCCATAAAATGTAGACTAAAGCATTCAATGTACATCAAAGATTCTTATTATTTGCCCTTTTCTCATCCTTTTCCCTATTTGGTCCAGCTTACGTGAGATCTCCAATGATGAAACAGATAGCATGATTCTCACTAATCCAGGCCTCATATCGCAATTCCAAATTCAAACTCCCATAAACCAGTAAAATACTTCCCTAAAAACTGCATCATATATAAACTCCCCTCCAAATACCAGACCCCAATTCTGTCCAGCTTACACCGTGTAGCAGCCATACTACACCCACACCCGTGCACCACTTATATATCGCCTTCTTCACTCACCAGATCACTATACTACCCCATGAGTAGCCAAGACGATGTATGTACAAGCAGTTTTTCATGTTTTCCAGCTCCTTCTAACTCTTTCAGATCCGTGCTAAGCGATTGGCCCGTTTGGCGGCGCTCCAGCTGTCGTCCCAGCAAGGTCAGACATCCAGATCTGAAAGTCCTAAACCAGATCCACCAAAGAAGCAGCCCGAACCGGTCAAAAAGGCCCCAGAACAGCCAAAACCTTCTCCTGTTCAGAAGAGGGCTGCAGAGGAACCGCTGGCTGCTGCAAAACCACAGAAACAGACTCCTCCTGTGGAATCCACATTGCTGACTCCAGAGTTGGTGGATAAGTGGCTTCGAGCTGAAATCCCTAGAACGTTTGGGGTCGACTTCAAGAAGTTTTCTGATTTGGGCTCCTCGGGCCAGCTTTCTGCTGAATCCATCGAGGATGTGTTTGTGGAGATTTTGACTGATATGGGTACCCCAAGCTCCACCTTACCTATAGTGTACCTTTACGACGTATACAAGAAGGCGTTCCAGTTGAAGCGTATCTTACCCAAGAAAGACCAGATTTACGAGCAAAAATTGGCTATCGTCAGCAGTATAGTCAACTTCTGTGCCTCGTATGGTCTTATCTGCTTCCAAATACCAGAAATGGTGCTTAACAACGACATAGAAAAGTCCATCGACACCTTCATCGACCGCAGCGACATGAGCCCCTTCTTGGTCGATATCATTAATAAGTCCATCGAGCTGGACTACCTTTTGGACTTGATGAGCTTGCTTTTGCCTACCATCAGTGCCAAGTTACATGGTCTCAATCTCCAGAGACCCGAATACAGCAAGTACCTTTCAATTTGGGAGAATTTGGTTTCTGTCAAGCCTGTGGCTGCTATCTTCTCCCAAGTCGATGGGTTCGCCCCTCCAGATCCATCTAAAGGTCTAGATTTCGAACACAAAACGTTGTTGGGTTCTTTTTTGAGACTATCTCCTCTTGCCGGTGAGGTGGCTGCCTTCTATTTCGCTGGCGGCTCCAAATCAGATGCTCTGCTTGAGCTTTCCCCAGCTCAGTTACTGCCGCTCTTTTCTTCTGCTCAGAATGAAATGAAGGTGGTTTTCGACAGAATCTGGTTCATCATGGACAAGCTCATCCGTGGATCTCCTCAGACAAGACAGGATATTATGAAGTGGTTCGCCGACTTGGTGAATGTGTCACACTTGAGAACTGGTTCTCATGCTAAGGCCAACAAGTTGCCTAGTGACGGATTCATGTTCAACATCTCCTACCTTTTGATTCGTCTCAGTATGCCATTCTTGGACTACCCAATGTTTTCTAAACTTGACAAGATTGATCCCGACTACTTTGGTCCAAAGAATAAGTTGTTGAATGTCAAGGAGGATGCAAGAATGTATGCGTCCAGCTCGGAAGCGGATGAGTACTATGATGATGCCATGGAGACAGAAACCAATTTCATCTCGGACTGCTTCTACTTGGCTTTGACCTACATGGAATACGGTATCGGTGGTATGATCACTCAACATGGAAGGTTAAAGAATGAGTTGAAGAGGTCCACCGAGATGCTTGCAAGAATGCAACGTGATCCTGCTGCCAGAGGCATGTTGCCACGTATCACCGAATTCGTCAACACCTCTCGTTGCAGAGTATATGCTATTGATGCTGTGTCTCTCGATCAAAACGTCAACCTGGAGATCTTTGACTTCGTTATTGGTGCTTCTCAATTCATGGCTCGTACCATTGACCCACAACACAAGCACCCCTTCCCCAGACTCGAAGTCCCTATTTTCCAAATCGAAAGAGTCAGTCAGTTGGATGACCATGACTTTTTGAAGACCAAAACGCCCGTGCCATGGAAATACTTCCCTGAGTACATGTTGCTGGGCTTAATCAACTACTGCAAGTTTATTAGCAGATACGGCTCAAACGCATTAATGACCAACGAAGAGAAGCTCTCTGTATTTGTTGAATTTGCTACAATCTTGTTGAGATGTCCAGAGCTCATTGGTAACCCACATATGAAGGGAAGCATCGTTGAGATCTTCTTTGGTGGATCGCTTCCAATGAGAAACGGATCTCCAGGATATATGGCCAATATCTTCAACACAAACAAGTTGGTTTTGAACAACCTTCTTTACTCGCTTTTGGACATCTACGTGATGATCGAGAAGACTGGTGCTTCCTCGCAGTTCTATGATAAGTTCAACAGCAGATTCTACATCTCGATGATTATAGAAGAGTTGTGGCATAATGATCACTACAGGAAACAATTGACAGACTACCTGAGGCATAATGTTGAGTTTTTCATCCGTTTCATTGCACGTATGTTGAACGATACGACATTTTTGATCGACGAGGCCTTCAACTCTCTTAACTCCATTCACAACTTGCAAGTCGAGTTGAACGCCAGGGAAGCTGGAAGTGAAGGAAATACTGATGAGTTTGGTACCACTGAGGAGCTTGAAGGAAACTTGCTGACGGAGGAATCTAAAGCTAAATCGTACATGGGTTTGGCAAATCAAACCATGAAGTTGTTCAAGCTCTTCACAAAGCAGGTTCCTGAGGGTTTCACCATCGGTGAGCTCGTGGACCGTCTTGCCGGTATGATGGACTACAACTTGTCGCTCTTGGTGGGTCCTAAATGTTCCAACTTGAAGGTGAAGGAGCCTGAGAAGTATGACTTTGATCCAAAGAAGACCTTGGCTGACATTTGCGAGGTCTACGCAAACTTGAGTGGAGAAAGCAAGTTCAAACAGGCTGTGGCTAGGGACGGCAGATCTTTTGATGTCAAGTGGTTCGAAAAGGCCAAAAACATCTTGACCACTAAAACCACAGTTGATGATGCGCTAATCCGAGACTTCTACCTGTTTGGTCTTGCAGCTGAGCAGGAGAGAGTCGCCTACGAACAGGAAGAGATGGAATTGGGTGAGGTGCCAGAAGAGTTGTTGGATCCATTGATGTTCACCTTGATGGAGGATCCTGTGATCTTGCCCGGATCCAGAGTCACCATGGACCGCTCCACCGTCAAGGCACATCTATTGAGTGACCCAACCGATCCATTCAACAGAATGCCCCTCAAGCTCGAAGACGTCATTGACGATGTCGACATGCGGGAAAAAGTGGCCCAGTTCAAACAGGGCAAGAGGCCCGCCTAAAGGTCTACAGCAGCAATACACGAATATTACCATTACGTTATTTAAGCCTTGATAGCGTAAACTCTCTTTGGGAAAGCAGCTCTTCTCTTTCTCTCTCTTGGAGTGATTCTAGCAGCGTCCTGCTTGGACAAGGCTCTTCTCAAAGCTCTGGTCTTCTTCTCTCTCAAGTCCTTTGGAATGAGCTTCTTGTCAGCGTAGAAAGCTCTGACGTTCTCTCTTTGGAGAGCGTTGATGACAGTCAAAACTCTGGCAATGTCCTTTCTGACAACACCAATCTGAGGAACAGCTGGTCTGGTCAACTTCTGGACCTTGAGAGAAGCAAGCTCCTGCTTCAACTCGAGCAACTGCTGCTCCAACTGCTCCTTAGACTTAGTTCTCAATTCGGCAACCTTAACTCCGGCCTGGTTGTTAGTAATGTGTTTATGGACGAGTCTTTTGCACTGAGGATGGGATAGATGAATGTGTTTTTTGGGAAGGAAACTGACGACGATTTGGATTCTTGTAATTTGGACGCCTCCCGTGGAATCGGATTGGTTTGCTTTGTGGATGTCGGGGACATGTTTCGACATTACGGTTCTTCAGGTTTGATGACTTCTATCTGGGTGACTGGACGTTGGATTTGAACGGGAATGACATCTTTCGATTTGGAATGAAATGGGCTATACGGTGTGCTTGGGCTGACTCGGATGTTTCGTGGTGTTTCGGCGGCACATACCATTGTGTTGTGTATTAGTCTGCGGTAAAGAGAAGATTTCTGAAGAAATTTTTTTTCAGAGTGGATGGCAGTGAGGAGGTACTGCAGATGAACCCTCCAGGCTCGCCAACCTGTTCTGTTAACTATGGGGGCCGCACTATGTGGGTGTACGGATGTCTTGGGCTGAATGGTCTCACGTGCTTGGAGGGCTCGAGCCCTAGTCGGATCAGCACTCGGATCATGCTCGATCAGGCATCAGTGGCCTACATGGATCGAAATATTCATCACCGGATGAAACTTGGCTACAGCAAAAACATTGATTACAATTCCATGCGTTCTATACCCGTGGGGCACAAAAAGTAAATAAGCATGACTTCATAGCGAAGCGACAAGTAAAAGAGTAGGACATCGTAGGCAGAAGAAATACAGGTCACCGTTGCCGCCACCCTTCCGGGTTCCTCTAGGAAACCCTAGTGGGCAATTACGAGGAGTTCTTCAAGTTGGTGGACAACCATTCCAAACCCTCGTACAAACCGTCACCGGTGGTAGCACAGGTGGACTGGATGAACCAAGGTCTCTGTCTGATGGAATGCAAGCCCAACTTCTCGGTGATCTCGGCGGCGTTCATGGCGTTTGGCAAGTCCTGCTTGTTGGCAAAGACCAAGAGCAAGGCGTCTCTCAACTCGTCCTCGTTGAGCATCTGCTGCAACTCCTCTCTGGCCTCGGCAATACGGTCTCTGTCGTTGGAGTCGACAACGAAAATGATGCCCTGGGTGTTCTGGAAGTAGTATCTCCACAAAGGTCTGATCTTGTCCTGTCCACCGACATCCCACACGGTGAAGGAAATGTTCTTGTACTCAACGGTCTCCACGTTGAAACCAATGGTGGGGATGGTGGTAACAATCTCACCGAGCTTCAATTTGTACAAGATGGTGGTCTTACCGGCGGCATCCAAACCAACCATCAATATTCTCATCTCTTTGTTGCCAAAGAGGTTGCTGAACAACTTACTGAACGACAATCCCATGGTGAACTGAGGGGGTGAATCTGTTTGGAATTGGGCAGGGGCTTTGCAACAAGGTACTTCTAAAAACTTAAAATCCGTTTGATTTTAAGATCGATCTGTGAGAAGGCGGTGCTGCAGTGATTTCTGAAGAAAGGAAGGTCCCGCTGTTGTGGAGTTTTATTGTCGGATGGGAAAACTGAACAGCAAATCGCGCCAAGTGACGGGTCGTGCCGTACACACAAAAGCACGCCCGGGGCCTTTAGGCTCCAAATGGCACAGCCTGGAAGAGTTAAATTTAAAAAGAGAAAGTTTGGGTGACCGGGGAATTACGTGGCCTTGTTTTCATGCCAAAAAATGTGTATTTTTTCGGGTGGGACCCTCTGCTATTTATACCCGTGTGCTCGGTCTCCTTTCCTGCAACGGGACGTCAACACTGAGTAAGTGACAAGTAAACAGAAACGGTGAACAAGAAAGTTTTGGTGAATTTTTTGCAAGTGTGTATTTGAGGTCAGCGATTCCATTATTTTCCGATTTTGGAAAATCAATTTACACTATGGTCTGCTAAAGCAAGCAGGTGGACCGCGTTGGGTGCAAACGAGAGGCAATACGAGACTACACCATTGGGCAGGAACGCCAGTGCTCAAGGCCAGGGTCCATTTTTCTGGATTTCATGAAAATCAAAAGCCAAATTGAGTTTTCTAAAATGAAGATGATGGATTTTTTTCACTATTTTTTTCTGAATCAGGAAGGTGGTGGTTGGCTGCGAAAAACGGCTTCATGCATTGTAGCCGAGACAACGGGGATCAGAGGTGGGGAGTTGGTTGTGAAGAAGTGATTGGAGTATTTAAGCTCGATCGAGTGGTTTTGAGGTGGTCCTGCTATGAAATTTATGAAACTGTGATCTGGCGCTTTGTGTGGTAATTCTAGATCACCGTGTTCGGAATCAGCGGCATTGCGTGATTTTACAAATCGTCAGGCCAACGATCGTGGCTCTTCTTTTGGGGAGCTTTTGAGTATTAGATGTTATAAAAAGGTGGAAGTGGTTGTAAAAGTACGTTTTATGCCACAGTATTTCCTTCGATCATTGTAACAATATTTACTGGTAAAATTCAAGTGACTACTCATATCGTAGCCTGAAACACTCCTTCTTTATGACTTTTTTCACGTATATTTTGATAAAGCAGAGCTGAAGCCTCCCATTTTTTTCTCTCAATCGATATATGTTATCATGAAATCACTAGGTTGAAGAGTTGCTCGTACCACTAACAGCAAACACTGATATTTCAAATCTGATAATCTAGACGATTCCATTTTTTAATGCAATTTCTTCTTTGACCTTAAAAGTTCATTAAACACGTCTCGTTATATTTTTTGCTCTATCTTAGATTACATTACGCCTGGAACCTAGACTTCTTCTTTGGTTTCTATATTTTTCGCAGCCATTCACACACACTACAAATTGAACATACCATGATTTAATTCACCACATATAGTAAGTCCAAAAATTAAATCTTCAGAGTTTAACCACTTGATTGAACGACCAACACTCGCTATTTAAGACACTTTAATTCGTGATGATTCCAAATTTACCATCATCGGAGGAGTTCGCAACTCCTCTTGCAACTGAACTTCTTGCAGCTACGGCTGAGACCCCATCGATGGAGGACCAAGAGCCCTTCATCTCTCCGGGAGATACACAACCCGATCCTCCTGACGTTGGTCAAGAGGTGGAGCCGATAACGGACACGTTACCGGACCCGGTTGTGGATCCACCGAATGGGTCCTCCGCAACTTTACCCCGAGATCAACCCTCTCAGGGAAACATTCAGAGCAACCGCTCCAAAAATACGCCACTGATGCCTAGAGGTCCCCCAATGAACCAACAGGCCCCCTCAGAAGCTGAAACAACTGCCGCTCGAGAAACGGCAGTCCCAATCGATAACAATACTCGAGAAGCATCCTCTCCGTCGCAATTCAGAAGGGTACTTCGGTCGGGTAGATCCCATGATATGGGAGCCTCCCATTGATATCGTTATTGAATATGTCAAAAGAAAAAGTTAATGCAAAGACCATAGAAATCAAACACCCGTTTGGTTTCAAATCGCACAAACCTGGACGTCCGCTACAATTGACCATTGGATCGTTCAATGTTCAACACTCAACTGATATCGCCACGATAATTAACTTAGCACGCAAATTTGACGTGCTCTTTATCCAAGAGGTTCCACTAGTTGAAGAGAAGGTCCTCCAACTTGAGGCTCTCGCAAACGCTGCTCATCGACAGTTTTACTCCGGCAAAACTGAAACCGGTATACTCAATCATACAGGTATCATTCTCAATCCATCCTCGTTTTCGGTTCTTTCGACTTCTGAGCTTAACATGGACCTGTTTCATAGCGATCGCTTTACAGATATTAGAGTCCGCACTCTTGCGGGGGAACAATTGCTTCTTTTAAACCTTTATCTCCCAACGGAAGATAAACGTGCACAAGCATCTATCCTTTCTGAGATCAATTTCACTTATTCAACCTTGCAAAGAAGCTCGCCAGACCTCAAGCTTTTGTACGGGGGCGACTTTAATCATTCAATGGAAGCCGATGTCCGATCAGAACGACCTGCAAGATACGCAATTGCGGATCTAAATAAGCAGGCCCACACCGAGGACGTGGCTCGCTATGATAGTCAGATTCCGTTACTTCCTACGAACACTCCAACTCGTTTAGGAGCAACATGCCGAAGACTTGACAGATTTTACATACCCCGATCATGGAGACACCGGGCTATGAGATATCAAATCATTAAACCACCCCACATAACTAGCTCCCACCATCTCATCAAGGTTACGTTTCGTCTTGACAGGGACTCAAGTGTGTTGATAGGATATCCTAGATTCCGCTACCCTATGCAACGATTACGGACCTCGTTCGGCCCAACTATCAAAATCCCCTTTTCAACCAACCTTGATCGATCCATCTTTCTCATACAAAGCGAGGGACTCGAATACATCAAGTTCATGGGTTATGTCCGCAAACACGATCCCACATTTGCTAACACCATTATCTCCGACTCCTTTTCTCCACTGAAAATGGAACAGAAAGAGATGAATACCAAATTGTGCTTTCAAACCAAGAGAATCGAGACTCTGATCTTTCAAAAACTAGTGAGCGAAGATTCACGAGAGAGCGCAAGCTCGACTCTTGACATGCTTACACTCGCTACAAATTATTACAGAGACCTCTATTCCAAACCCGTTGACCCGCCAAGACACGATCTAATTCTGTTCCTCGAGCCACTCAAGAGCGCTCTTACTCGAGAAGATATTCGAACTTTGAATCGGCCTTTCACCAAAAAGGAACTCCATACGGCTCTTCTTGGTGCAGACCAAGCTTCTGCACCCGGTCCGGATGGGATTCCTTTTCCGGTCTTAGAACATTACTGGTCCGAAATTGGAGACAAAATAACAGCGGCCGCGAACGACATGAGACGGACCGCAACCTTACCTAAGTGCTTTAAATCGGTCTTAATTACTTTAATTCCGAAAAGTGGAAAAGCATCGGACTTGGTTTCAGATCAACGGCCAATCTCTCTTTCGAATGCTGCGTTGAAGGTTGTTTCTAGCGCAGCATGCATTCGGCTTCAAAAGATCCTTGACAAGATTATCAGCCCGAACCAAAGAGGCTTCATCAAGAATAGAAACATCCACAATAATACAATGGAGTTCTTTTCCATGATCCCCTTGGTGAAGAATATTAAAGCAAATTCCCCACAAGCGATTTTGATGGCAGACTTTACTAAAGCCTTTGATCGCATTTCTCATAACTACATCAAATCAGTTATGCAGAAGATGCGGCTCGGGAAATTCATAATTAACTTCATAATGCTGATTCTTGAGGGTCAAGAAGCACAACTTAGGATCAACAATGTCGATGGGCTCCGTTTCCCGCTTCGATGCGGCACGAGACAAGGCAACCCTCTTTCACCGTTGATTTTCAACATCGCGCTAGAACCCTTTCTCCGTCATTTAGAAACCCTTGAGGGTCTCCCCCTCTATTATCAAGGTTTCTACTTGGATAGGATTCGGTATCACGCCTTCGCAGATGACATAAACGTCTACTTGAACAGTTTTCGGGATTATACTCATTGCCGAGCGATGATCCGTCATTTTGAGATAGCTAGCAATAGTCTTCTCAATCCTAACAAATCAAAGCTTATTGGGTTTCATCGAAAATATCCTAAATTGACGGTTGATATTCTTCCTTACTCGAAAACATCCATCCACCTGACGGACATGTCGTACCTTGGTCTCCTGATCAAAGGGACTGATTGGTCCTCGTTTATTGCAAACTTGCAAATAACAAGTCGAGTTCAAGGATATATGAGCACGGACATCATCAGTCGAGCAATGGGAACCAATACCTTTATCGCCTCAAAAACGGTGTATAGAGATTTAGTCCATTGTATGTCTCGACTGGAACTTACAGCAGTTGATAACGCAATCCTGAAATTTTTCAAAGGCATCCATCTGAGCAAGCTTTACGCCCGCCCTAAAAATGGGGGGTATGGGCTTATTCAGTTGAAGATCCAATTACAGGGACACCGAGCCGCAGTGCTAGCTGCTCTCCTCACCGATCAACAAGGATGGTATATCAAGTATCTCAGGCTTAAGATCAAACATCATATGGCGAAAATCATATCACACAATCGAGACATCGCTGTTAATGCAGCAACCGCGTTTAACCCGGCCGATTTTCTCTTCGAACAATCGGACCGCTTTTACGCCAATCTTGATTGGACTTTTAGTCACAGCGAAATTTGCTACATCAAAGCATGGCAGGAGGTTGTGACACGTACTAGACAAGGCTCCCCACCAGATCGCCTTTTGGCGGTCCATCAGGGGTTCAACCATCTTAACCAGTCGTTGGCTCAAATACCTATGATATCGCCACAGGAAACGGAAGCGACTAAACCTGAGCAGTTCAAATCCTTGAGCAGAAAGAGATACTCCAAAGACGGGCCCATTAGACCGGGCTATTTTATGACTATTTGTCCGGAAGCCCAGAGCCTTTCCCGATGGTCCACCTTTTGGCGCAAGTTATACAAACATGAAAGGTTAGGATATAAAGATTTGACGGCCTTGCACCTATTCAACTTCGGATCTTATGTACCCTTACATTTTCCGGACGATAGTATTAGACCCATGCAATGTCATCTTTGCCTTCTCCAATTGGAAGAAAGAAACCTCATTCGACACATCTACACGCACTGCGAAATCACTAAATGGTGGTGGAAAGAGTTGCAGGGAAGCGAGCCTATGGGGCTCAATGCCATGCTAGCTCCGCTCGACACCTCTTATCGAAACCTTCACAGTTTAAATTGGTTTTTAAAAACTGTTTACCGCACGTATCTTCAAAGGCTACGTGACAGTCGAGATTCTACTGGACTTTCCCCATTTCTGCGAGCTCAGCTCAAAGAAGCGAAGGGACGCATAAGTCCGACGGGTCGATGACATAACCTTCACTATCCTTGCGATGGCAGGCTAGGGCCTAGTTACGACACAGGGGGATGACTTAGTTCGCAGGTGTGGTAAAGTGGCACTAGACTGGAAGCTGATATAATGGTTTTTTATTCTATGTAGAGGTAAATAGGGTTTTCCATTTAATCAGATGAATCAAACAAAAAAAAAAAAAAAAAGATATATCCGTGGCTTATCGCCTCGAGGTGATGTTTCAGCCGCACGGCATGAGGCTACATCTTTCCTACGATATTCTCCATAACTGATGCATTTCTATGACGATATTAGTTGCTTATGCTGACTCCTAGGTAACCATTATTAATCTATCTGACGATCTGTTGACCGCCCCCATGACCTAGCACTCTTCTGGCAATTGCCTCACCATACTATAGGGATAAGCACGTCACGACATGCAAGGAAGCCCCGTGGACCTCTCAACATGGGCTGAGAACACAGCCTGACCTACTTACCCACATTCACCTTGCAGTTTGCGAATTGGCGCAATGCACGGATGAAGACAGGGTAGTTGACGCTGTCGTTGTCGGCATCCCAGTACAACTCGCTCAAACGCAAGTGCCATGGGGGGTAATCATGCAAATCCAAGACAGGATCGAAACAGATGAGCAAGTCTGGCTCCGGGCCCACAAGCTCGCTGAGTTCCTCATCGATCAACTGCACGGTGATATCTTTGACCGACAACTCGTGGTTGGCTGTGAGTTCGCTCATGGTTTTGGTGAGCTCCACGATCGTGGGCTTGCCGTCCACACGCGAGAGCAACGCGATGTCCAACGCAGGCTGGCTCTCCGACGTGTCGCCCAGGGTCACGGTTGTATTTGAATGGGGCACTCTCAAGGTGAAAGCGGGCGTAGGCACGCCAAAGTAAGCACGGAGGTTCTTCTGGATGTACCGCTCCAACTCGCCCAAGTTGGGCTTGACGGCACCTGTTTCCTCGTAGATGGTCAAGCTAGGGATACCAGCGCTCAAGCACCAGGCGGCGAGTTCAGAGATATCCGACACGGCACCCTCGATACCGCCGTTCTCGTCGTCCTCGCTACGCATGCTGATGATGCAACTAAGCCTCTTGGGGATTTTGGCCAACTGGGTCACGTCGTTGCGGATCACCAGGGGCAGCTTGTTCGGGTAGTAGGTGATCAGGAGAAGACGAAGGTACGCCTTGTGGTAGGTGTATTCGAGATTTCGTATGATGGACATGAGGAAAAACACTGCAAGGAGGATCATGTGGCTGGCGTGGTGCTGTGCCCACAGCACGGCTTTGCTAACTTCCAAGGCCATGTTGGTGGGAAAGGAAGGGAAACTGCTGCTATTATATAGTGGGATGTGGTGTACGGGTGCACCACACAGGGTCTGCCGTTTCAGGTGTCTCCTTCGGTGAAAATTGTTCAGGGGTGGAGTTTTGGATAATGCGGCGGTATTTAATAATGAAGGAACCAACGCCTTGTACTCATTGTGTTGAAGGGGCTGAAACTCCTGGGGTGGTGTTTCAGGAGATGGCTGCGAAAAGTGGCATGGAACCCGAGGATCTCGGTACCTGAGGGGAGTTTCAAGGAAGTTGGATTTCTGACAAAGTGTGGATTTTTTAGGAGATTAGTAAAATTTCTTAGAGGAGAAGATGTCTGTAAAAAGAAAGTTGAGTCAGGTTTGGAAACTTTCGACTGTACTTCTCCTAGGTCTATAGTGTACCTTGTAAGCTTAGTAACATGAAATCAGGGAGCCACACGGTGCAGCAATTCAAATACAGAGTTTATACTTAATCGACTCAAATCCATAGAAGGTTATTAAAAAGCTGAGAATTCTCCCTAGAGCTCTGCTTATACCTGATCGCCTCACCATACTCGCCTCACGCCTCAGTATCATCGATGGTACCACCAAAATGCCACCACCGCCCCAATTGCGTAAAAAGACCTCCTTGACGTTTTCTTCACTTATAAAAGATCATTGGATAGAATAAATCCAACCCACTCTTCCTTATCTACGCTTATTGCTCATGCTATCCCTGTTCGCAGCCATAGGCAACCCACCTCCATCAACCCACCAAACCATCCAAGCCAACGATCATTCAATTACCCAATTACTCAATCAAAACCGTTCCAAACAAACTAAATAAAAAACCAAAGTAAAAAAAAACATCTTCCTGCCAGGTTGAGAAACCCCACTGGGGCAACTCCTCCCATATCCAGGTCCTGCACTTTTGCTTGCCATCAACTACTACTCCTCCTCATGTCCAAAAGAGTCCTTGACAAAATCAGCAGCCTTGCCCTTCCTGCAGGTCTTGCCTTTGCTGTAGTCCAGCTGGCCATGTACGACATTGAAGGCGGCAAAAGAGCGGTCATTTTCGACCGTCTTAGCGGTGTTCAGTCCAGGGTCATTGGTGAGGGTACCCATTTTGTCATTCCTTGGTTGCAGAAGCCAATTATCTACGACGTGCGTACGAAACCCAAGACGATCGCCACCACCACGGGTTCCAAGGATCTTCAGAACGTCAGCTTGACCCTCAGGGTGTTGCACAGACCAGAGGTGTTGAACCTCCCTAAAATCTATCAGACGTTGGGTTTGGACTACGACGAGAGGGTGTTGCCTGCCATTGGTAACGAGATCTTGAAGAGTATTGTGGCGCAGTTTGACGCTGCCGAATTGATCACCCAGCGTGAGGTGGTGAGTGCCAGAATCCGCCAGGAGCTCTCCAGAAGAGCCAACGAGTTCAACATTCGTTTGGAGGATGTGCTGATCACGCACATGACGTTCGGTAAGGAGTTCACCAAGGCCGTGGAGCAGAAGCAGATTGCCCAGCAGGACGCCGAGAGAGCCAAGTTCTTGGTTGACAGAGCCGAGCAGGAGAGAAAGGCCTCCGTTATCCGTGCTGAGGGTGAGGCCGAGGCTGCCGAGACCGTTTCCAAAGCATTGGCCAAGGCCGGTGACGGTCTCCTTATGATCAGACGTTTGGACGCCTCGAAGGAGATTGCTCTGACCTTGGCTGCCTCGCCAAACGTTTCTTACTTGCCTTCTGGCAAGGCTGGCGAGGACTCCAAGAACAGCTTGTTGTTGAACGTTGGTCGCTAGTGGCGGCTTCCTATCTACGTGGCCCCGAGGGCCTGCTTTGTCCCTGTGAATAGAAATTTTTTTTCTCTATATGCTGATTTGCACCGCTTCGTCGTAGAGACCTGGGGTGGTGGCACCCAGACGAACTAGCAGCTCCACGTCGGCCACTTCCTTGGCGCAAAGACTGGTCAAGTTGAGGATATCGCTTGGTGTGCTTCCCACCACAATGTCGTCCTCCACTCTCACACCAATGCCCTGGTAGTGCTTGGGCCACTTGTCGTTGTAGGGCACGTAAATGCCAGGTTCAATAGTGACGACGTTACCTTTACGTAAACGGCCAAAACGGGAAACCGATGGTGTATCGTGGAGATCTAGGCCTAGGTGGTGGCCAATGTAGTGTGGGAAGAGCTCTCTGGAAACGTCAGATCTCGACAAATTGGAGAAGCCAGGAAGCGAACGGAGCTCCAGGAGCAATGTCGTCACGGAAAGCTCATGAACGTCGTGGAGCGACATGCCGTAGTTTTCGTTACATTGGTCAATGCAGATTCGGTTGGTGTTGAGCACGGCAGTGTAGATATCTCTTTGAGGATCAGAAAAGCCGTTTGGTGAATTGGGCCATGTACGGGAAATGTCAGCACAGTATCCGCCTAGTTTTCCGCCAGCATCAACAAATACCGTCTCGTCTTTATAGAGAATATCGTCGTTGCGTGTGTAATGAATGGTCAAAGCATTGGGGCCACTGGCAACCACCGGAATGTATGCTTCTCTGTCACAGCCACCTCTCACAAAAGCGTATTCTAGATATTTGGC